GCGGATGAGGACGCGGATGAGGACGCGGATGGGGACGCGGATGAGGATGCGGATGAGGACGCGGATGAGGACGCGGATGAGGACGAGGACGACGATGAGGATGAAGACGACGATGAGGACGACGATGAGGACGAGGACGACGATGAGGACGAGGACGACGCCGGAGCTGATGCTGAAGAAGCTGACGTCGAGGAGGCTGAGGCCGAAGATGCCGACGTCGAGGAGGCTGAGGCCGAAGAGGAGGCAGCAGAGGAGGAGGCGTCCAACTCGGCGGGGCTCGCCCGAAGTGAAGCCTGGCGGCCGGACAAGGCGCTTGCCTGTTGGCCGGGAGATGGGCCGGCGAGGGGGTTGTTCGTGTGAACAAAGTCCGAATCGTCTGCCGAGGTTCGTGCATCGCCAAAGCGGACGAGATCCCACGGATGGGCAACCAACCCGCCGGAGGGCGTTTGACGATAGAGCCAAGCCAGCGGCCGGCCGGTGGCCGGAGCCATGTGTGGCACCATGGTTGAGGGGCTGTCCGAATGGTTGTGCGGGTCGATCACCAGGAGCAGGCTGCCGTTGGACTGGAGCTCGAGGAGGTTGGCCCCGAACCGGGCTACCGTGGGTGATAGACGCTGGCCAGGGGTGTTGGAAGTCCGGGTCCCGTTGATTTCAACCGGGCTGTGGGCCGTGAGGGCGCACTCGTCGGCCGGATTGGAGCCGGGCAATGTGCAGCTGAGCACCATGCTGGACCGGCGGGAGTTATTTTCAAAGAGCAGGGTAAGATACACCCGGTTTTCCGAGACAACCTTGGTACTCAGCTCCAGGAGAAGCTGCACCGGGCCGATGTTCGGGAAATTGGCCAGAGGCTGGAGCGGCAGCGGCCCGGTGGGATTGGCGACCAGTTGTGCTCCATCCAGAGCTTGGAGTTGGCCATCATCCATGGCCACAATGAATGTCCCGGAGCCCTGGGAGTCAGCCAGCGAAGCATTGGACACATAGAGCCGCCCATTGCGGAGGGTGGCACGGGTGGAGGTCAAAGCCGACATCCGGCCTGCCCCTTGTTGGGGAATCGGCTGAATGGACGCCGCCATCCCCGACGAAGGGGCAGCCAGGATGCATTCCTCCCCGGCAGGCTGGAAGCCCGGTGAGCATTCAGCCAGGCAGCTGGTTGGCGCCTGGCCGGGCGCGGTGGCCGGCTGCAGGAGGAAGCCCATTTCGCAGGCGGTGCACACTCCACCGACACAGGCACGGCAATGGTCCCCGGGACAGGGCTCGCAAGCATCTGGGGCGGGGGGCCGAAGGGGGGATTCGTGCGTCAAGCGGAGACAGTGAGCATGGGCGCATGTGAGAAAGGGTGGAAGGGAGAGAGAGAGGGAGGAGAGGGGGGGAGGAGGGAGAAATGTAGGTTGATGTGCTGGGAAAAGCAGGCGAGGGCCAGGCGTCGCCCGAAACGCGGCGAAGGATAAGCGCCAAGAGGGGAAAGGAGAGTGAGCGGAGAAATCCGGGCGGCCACGTACATCGATGCGGCCCGAGGGACACTTGATAATAGCCATCTGCACAGCCGGCACACAGCTCCACCGGGGAGAGCAGCGGGGCAAAGGCGCGGCCCGGGGCACAGGCCCACCCTGCGCTGGACGAGTCACAGACGATGCTGGGATCGGCGCCGGCACAGGCAAACTGCTGGTCAGTGGGGAAGACACGCGAGCCGGAGCTCGGGAGCCAGTGCTCCATCAGTTCGCCCGACCCGTGGGCCATCAACGCGGGCAGGATGCCGGCCGAAGGGAGGTCCATCGATGCCGGAACCTGGACACGCTGCCAAAGGAGACCCTGTGGATGGTAGTTCACACGCCAGAGGACCGGCGAGTCGGCTGCCTGTTGGACCAGGAACAGATAGCCGGTGGGGCGGGTGATGTGCGGCACGCGGGGCACCATGTGCAGGGAAAGGTTGTTCCGCGTGGCCGGCAGGGGATCCGTCAGGACATCCTGCCAGGCGCCATCACTGCTGACGCCGAGATAGACCAAGAGCCGGGTGGCGGTCAGGACCACCAGGTCCATGCGGCTGGAGCTCGATGTGATCAGCCGAGTGGCGGCCAGGCCGAGCACCGGCTCATTGACATTGACGATCACCGGGTCCTCATCAAACTCGAGCCATGCCCAGCCGGTGGTGGTGGCTGCAAACAGGTGCCCAGGCAGGCCGGCGGTGGCCGAAGAGGCGCGGAAGGTCAAGCGCTCCGACTCCCATTCACCCTCGAATCGCTGGATGAGCTTGGCGTTGGAGCCCTCGAGTCCGACCAGTAGCCGGCCGGCTTGGCGACCGATGGCCTCGGCCGCCAAGAGAGTGGCCGGCGGGTCGGATTGGGGGAGGTTGAAGATGTAGTTTCGGGGGCTGGTGGTGGTGAGGGCCAGCGTCCGGGCATTCTGCCAGGCAAACAGCGGAGACGCGCCGCGCAAGGGCAGGGCCATCAGCGAGCCGGCGGCCTCTTCGGGAATGCCCTGGAAGGTGAAGGTCTCGATGGGGTCCCGGGCGAACAGCGAGCCCAATCTCAGCCCCGGGAAGAGGGTCTGCTCGGTGCGCTGCTCGAAGAGGGCGCTTTCCAGGTGGCCAAGGGTGTACTGTGTGATGGGGATCGTGGGATGGATGCGCCCCTGGCGCGGTGCATCGAGGGGCCCCGATGTGTGGGGGCTCTGGACAAGCAGCAAGTCCGGCAGGTCGGCATCCGGGTCGAGGTCAGCGCGGGCCCGGAGTCTCACCGGGGCCAAGATGCCCAGGAGCAGCAGTGACTGCAACAAGCGCAGCAGCATGGGGGCATGGGCGGCGGGAAACCCGGGGAGGGGCACAGGCAACAGGCGAAAGTGGAAGAGAGAGAGAGAGAGGAGAGCCAAGAGGAAGAGCACAAGGGAAGCAAGAGGACGGGGGGGGAGGGGAGATGGGGTGTTCCGGCTCTTCCGGGCGACAAGGCAGGGGTCTTTAGAGTGCCAGAGGTGCCTTTCCCGCTGTGATGGTGCGGCGTATGATGGGATCTCTTGCGGGGAGAGGCCTGGGCAGGGTGCACGAAGAGTGCAAGCTGGCGGGAACAAGAGACAAGTGTGCTGGAGAAGGGGAAGCAGGACGAGCAGAAAGCCCAAGCGCAGTGACCAATTGCGCGACCGAGAGGGAGAAGGCGACGGGCACCGAGACTCGCGCACCCGCGCCGATGGGCATACGCCAAGACATTGTCGTTCAAGCTCACGCGCGCGTACCCATGCACACACACACACACACATTCACACACACATGGCTATGCCCAAAGACATACGCATTTACATTTACATACACATTCACAAAGACAAATACACACACACACACATGCAAAAAACACCTGCGCACAGGCCAACCACCGCTGGGGAAGATCCCCACAACCCGCGACACCCGTATCTGAGGCTGAGTCCAACGAGACCCCCTCGAATCCCAAACACCCGTCTGCCAGGCGGTCGGACAAGTCTGGCCACTGCCCCGCGCGGATGGGGGACCTCTTTCTTGGGGGAGTTTTTTCATGCTCGCTCTCGGAGAGGGGCCAGCTGGATCCCAGGCTTGCCGGGGACCACACTGCAAACCATGCTCGGCCTACGGTCGCGTGGAGATCGGCCCGACCACGATCGTGCGGATTGCCCAGGGAATAGCTCGGACGTGATTCCCCCGTCGCCGTCCCCACGCCCCTTGGCCTTATACAACGCCAGATGTGCTCCGCGGCCCGGCCCAGCCCGGCCCGGCCCCGCGCCCCCCCCCCCCCCCCCCGTTTACAATGTGCGGCCACACCGCCGGGGGTGGGCCGGCGACAGGCGGCCGGCACAGGTACCACCGGACCCGGCTAAACCACGAAATCCGGGCCCCCTCTCGCCCGAGGCAGGTATGTGCGGGCGCGATATGCGCTCCCACACGGAAGCCCACGTGCTCCTGCCATTTTTTCGGGTCAACCTAGAATGCAACCACCGGGATCGGGCGGCCTGGGCTTCGTTTGCCGGGCGCGGGTTTCACACTCGGGGGGCGGGCCTGCATCGCGGGGCATGCTACCCGTGCAGGAGGGGGGGGGGGGGGGGGGGGGGGGGCCGTGGCGAGCGAAACACGTGCG